CATGAGTTTGATCCCCAGTACCAAAAAAAAGGTCGTGTTAATTTACTGCATATAATGTTTTTATTTTCAAAATTACTTTTTTTTGTTTTTGTTTTTTTAGACAAGGTCTCCCTATGTAACACAGGCTGTCCTCAAATTCGTGGTGATCCTCCTGTCTCAGCCTCTTAAATTCTGAGATTATAGATGTACACCAACCACCATACCCAGCTTGCCCTGTATCTTTTAATCCATTTTTATAACATTTTAATTCCCTAAAACCTAAGCTTCTGTCTCTTGCAAGACAGCCTCTTTAATGGTTATCTTTGACTTGGATTTGACCTGGTAACCTGGATTTGCTTTCTAATAAGATAAACTAAAGTAGAAACTAGAGAAACAGTGCTTTCTATGAAATGCCATGTAGAGTTTGGCATCATTAGAATGTTGGCAGCAGATGGCTTGGTAGGGTTTATTCTACCCTCTGTCCTCCTCCACAGCATTGAAACGGTGAGTGGCACAGTTGGGAATGTGTTCACCTGCAATTACAGAGAACCTGGCTACCTTAAGCTTAAACAGAGGAAGGTGTGTGGTTCCTCTTGGTTAGTCTGGTGGCTAAAATTTATTCAGGGCCTACTTTTCTGGACTTTTCTTCTGTTTTCCTTGTGTCTCTGCCTTTATTGAGGAGAGGCTACCCTTTACCACTAGCCCTCATACTGGCTCCAAGCAAGAATAGGGACAGGGTCCAAGGCCTGGCATCTTAATGTGCTTCCTCTATCAGGGACACAAAACCATGTGCAGAAGCCCCAGTGGCAGTTTCCTGGGAAAGGACTATTCCTGCCAAAGAAAGTACAGCAGAAGAATCATGAAAGTTGAAGTTACTTAGAAATAGGGGTTAAGTGTGAGCCAAGTCCAGCTGAATTTATTTAGGCTGTCTTCTGGTTCACTTTCTAGGGACTCCTGGGGTGAGGAGGTTGCTAGTGAAAGCTACGAACGTCTTCTACAGGTCCCTAAATGTGCATGCTGTGTCAGCAAGCTCTGCAGCACTGTGCAGTGGGGCCCTCCCATTAGCCACACCCAGAACTACGCTAAACCAGTGAACTAATTTACTATCACACGGTATTATCGACCCGACCCGTGATCTAGCCTGGTCTCAAAATCCCCACCTATGAGTACGTGAGACTTTGGGGAGACATCTGGGTATGGGCTACAACATAGGACAAAAGCAGACATAGACAAAATGTAAAAGAAATGATACCATTTTGTTCCCCATAAGCTTTTTTATGGCATTGAAATTTGTGTTTCATTTCCCTGTGTATGTTGAAAAATACTGTTGATTTTTTCCCCTCAAATATATAAAGTCATTATTGGCTGCAGACCAAATAGAAATAGTCAGTGGGCTGTACTTGGCCCATAGGCCATATTTCATTAACCTGAATCTGTCTCGAGATTTGGCCATGTTTCTTTGTTTTAATTACTTGTTAGGGTGTATAAAGGACCTATATTTTAAAGGAAAGTGAAACGCAGCTCTCATCATTTCATGGATACCTTTGTATTTTAGGCCTAGCACCTTCGTCATTACTTTTTAAAGGAAATAATAAAACTGTATCTGTTAATCAGTGATGAATATTCATTTACTTATATTAAATTTATATTTTCAGAAAGTTTATTTCCAGGCTCCACTGTACAGTAATAACTTTTATTTAAAAACCTTCATCATAATACAATATGTATGAAGGCATTTTAAGTAGCAACTTAGAATTTTATCAGTGATAGTGCATTTGGGTACAAGCTTTAGAAGCTTATTCTGTAATAAGGAGAAGTTAGAGTAGGCTATGCAGGTAAAGCCTGGGGTGGCAGCTATATCATCCTGCTCTCTGCTTGGCCATCCTTAGTGGATGGTACGTGTTTTCTCTTCTGTGAATTGGTTTCTGGACGTTCGGGCCCTGTATCTGCAGTTCTGCAAGGAAGAAAGGAAAAGGGTGAGGGCAGAAGGGGACCAGTGTTTTCTTCCAGTTCATGAACTAGAGCCCCAGCGAAACCATGTGCCTTACATCTCATTGGCCAGAACTGTATCCTGAGATCCTCTGTAGCTGGAGTCATTTGAGTAAACACATTTCTGTAGCTAAACAAAGCAGATGTCTGCTACTAAAAGGAAATTGGTTCCTGGGTAAACAGCAATTGTCCGCACAGCTTGAGTAAAAGCCTCGGATTTGAGTTGACAGGTGCCTTCCTCTCATGGATAAATTGACATGAGTGCAGGCACAGACATTTAATCAGTAGATTTAAAAAAAAGTAGTTCGTTGTAAGGTGCGTTTCATTTCAGAAAAGCTGAAACATGGGAAGAATGAAAGTCTTTGTATGGAGGAACTGACTGTTGTTACTTGAACTCTGGGATCGTACCCAGCACATGAAGTACCCTAGGCCGCTTCCTGTTGCCCTTGGGAAACGCTTCTGTTACCTGGGGCACCCTGTGCAGCCATAGTTCCAGGCCACGGCCGCTCCTGCAAATCTTGAAAATAGCTGGCTGGCGTGACTCATCTTCCTTCCTGGTGCTAATGTTACACATGTCCACAGAAACACTTCTTTCTCTGATTTAAACTTCTCTCATCTTGTCTACCTGAGTGGTTGGCTGTAGTGTTGGCTAATTACTGTGGTTCTAGGTGTCCCTGCCCTTCCCATTTCTTCCTTTCAGTAATTTACCTAGCCTTTCCTGAAGATGTAAGGAATCGGAGTCTGGTGACTAAGGAAATGCCTTGAGTTGTTCTTGTGCTCAAGTAGTCATCACCACTGTTAATAGGAACAACCTTTTGCTTTCTGAGCATGGTGTTACTGATGTATTTGAATTTTAATATTATATGATTATTTTTCACTTGCAGTTTTAAGATAGTGGTCACAAGGAATCAAGGAGGAAGTCCATGGCAATGGTGGCAAACCTTTGGCATGCGTGCCATATCATTGAAAGCTCCAAAAGATTCACCATCTGGCATACGGTATTTCTTTATAGCAGCCGGAAGACTCTTAGACAAATACTCCTTACATTATTTCTAGTGGTAAAAGTTATAGATATACTGAATCCAACAACAGAGTAGTAATTGTGTGTGGACATGATGGAATTTTCAGGCAGATACTAAATTTCATACTTGCAGAAAATGTTTCTTGTCTGAGGATAGTGTTAAGGTTAAGTTGTTGACTGACTGAAGGGGCAGCATTGCAGTTTGTTTTACAGTGTGATCCTGTGAGAGGTAAGTGCAGTTGTGCTGTAGGAGGTTGTAGTGATAAGTTTGTGCATGGTATGTACGTGTGTGTATACCTGTGTGCCTGTCTGTGAACAGGACAGGAGGGAAAATAAGGAAGCTGTGTTACCTTTGAGTTTCTCAGTGATGAGAAAAGATTTTTTAAAAGTAATCATACTTTGTAGTAAAGTTGGCTGTTGTCTATGATATTGGAAAACCTAGGCTTGATTATGTATCAGTTTCATGTTTTTCACTCTAATGAACATTTAAAATGTTAGATGTGGAGCTTTCATGTACACAGAAAGTTTGGACTCATTCCTCTCAGTGGTTACCTGGGTAGTGGGATTATAGGTCATAGTTTTATGATCTCCAAAGCAAATAACTTCTTTCATCATCGAAGAAGCTGGATCATGAAAGATACTGTCGTATGCTGTGAAGATGGAGAAGCATCTGAGTAGCCAGAAGAATGCTAAGCAGAAACTGAAATGATTGTTTTCATAAGAACTCATACTAGTTGTAAGATCCTCATCAAAAATAGATAGCCTCAGTTTCCTTGTCTGTGAAACTAGAGAAATAAAATCTACCTTTAGGCTTTCAATAGAAAGAGAAATAGAATAGAAGATTTTTTTGCAAGTTGAAGTTTCAAGATAATATAGTAACATTTCTGAAACTGTGTTATCAATTGGAGGAAAAGTTAACTTTTTCAGAAATGTGAAGCAGCTAATTGAAGAAGTCAAGATAAGGCTATTACCAATTTAGATGCATACGTACAGTAATTTCTTCGTCCTATTTTGTCAGCTTTCTGTGTCCGTATGAGCCATACTATCTTATTATTCATGAACTTCTACTGAGGCATCAGAAGTCCTGTGCTTGAAAAGTACAAAGCAGACTTGCATCTAGAGTCAGGTGTGATTGAAGCTTTTGGAGGACCTTAGGAGGAGGAGGGAGGCAATAAGTATGTGAAAGATGGTTTTTCAGGCATATTTTTTCCTATGTTGAGACATTTTTCTGTTGAGAGATCAAAATGATTCTTTTCCTTGGCTTTTATAGAATTTATTTTACTCCTTAAGTTCTTTGTATAGATTTTTCAGAATCACATAGAACAACTCAGTTTGTTCTCATATGCCATGTTTAAGACATTGCGTATCACCATCCATTTTAGTTAGCGCATGCCTGTAGGCTTGGAAGATGGTAACACCTGGAAGACTTGCAGATGTGTGGGCAGCTCCTCAGGAGCAGTCCTGACCCTGTGACTGAAGGAGGCACTAGGGAGGACCAGAAGAGGGAGGAAAGTGAGAATTCTCTGTGAGATGATGTTCACGGTTGTTTCTTAGCTGGCAGTGGAGAGCATCTTCATTTTGGGAGCTGAAAGGTGTTTGCATGATGGTGGTTATAGCAGTGGAGAGTGAAAGAGGCTCCTGAAAGAATGAGAATGTTGCTGCTGCAGGAACCTGTGAAGTGCTGGCCTCTCAGGTGGGCTATTCATGGTTAGTGCAGAGGGCGTAACGTCTCGTGAGGTGAAAGTAGGATGGACAGTGGTGATGGCCTATGGAGGACTGAGTCTCGCCTCACTTGGTCTGTACCCCCAGACGTCCAAGTTGAGCCTCTGTGTTCCAGGAAACTAGGTGAAAACATCACCATTGGTCCTCTGTGGGACCCCAGTGCATGGCTGGTACTGGGCACCTGTGAAAAGTACCCCTCGTATCTCTGACTATGAGAAACGGAATCTAGTTCTGTTTGGAAAAGCATCCTTATGATTTTACATGAGCATTTCTTGTCTTTTCTCTATAGATAAAGAAGAAGCAGCAGGATGTGGTTAGATTTTTGGAAGCCAACAAGATAGAATTTGAGGAGGTGGACATCACAATGTCAGAAGAACAGAGGCAATGGATGTACAAAAACATCTCCCCAGAAAAGAAACCTGCTCAGGGGAACCCGCTGCCACCCCAGATATTTAATGGTGACCAGTACTGTGGGGTGAGTGACTGCCTGTTCTCCCATTGTTTCCTCGTGATACTCCTCACACATGGTCACTGTGTGTGTTTGGGCTTCTTCTGTTGAAGACTGAGTCCCCTTCACACAGGGCCTGTTTAGCTCCACAGGTCTAACAGGCTGGAGTTGAAAGGGGACCTGAATCCCAGACCACAGATGGTGCAAGCACATGGGTGTTGTGTGGTTTGTGAATGAGAGTACAAGTGTATCTGTGTTCCATACTGCTTTGAAAGGGGACAAGATGGAAAATTGCATATATGATTATTGTGTCTAAATTTTGTAGTGTGTCTTTTGGTGATTATGTTCTTGTGTGCAGAGTAAAAGACGTAATTATTTCTGAATCTGTGACTCTGTCATATGAGTAACTACTGATAGCTGGTTATAAGCCAGAATTCCTTTTTTATGGTTATGAACCAGAAGGATCACTAAGAATACCCAAAATCTACTAGGTGCCTTCCTGCTTTGTGTAGCATATGAGAAGAGAAAGTCAGTTTTATCTAATTGTCTACTCATCTTCTTATTCCTTAGGTTAACAAAGTTTGAGAAACTCTTCTAATGAGTAGCTTAAAGTTTGCCTTTTCTGTTCCCTCTCCTCTCCTCCCCTCCCCTCCTATCCCCTCCCCTCCCCTCCCCTCCCCTCCCCTCCCCTCCCCTCCCCTCCCCTCCCCTCCCCTCCCTCCTCCTCTCCTCTCTCCTTCTCTCCCTTTCTCTCCCCTCCCCCTTGGCTCCCGTGTGTGTGTGTGTGTGTGTGTGTGTGTGTGTGTGTGTGTGTGTCTTTCTTTCGTAGCTCTGAGAACATATATTGGCATTTATTTTGGGACTACACTTCTTTTAAAGCTGACCCAGAGAAAAAGGAGCTGGAGTGCTGAGGGGCTTGACATAAAACACATAGCCAACTTGTCAGTAGGATGAAAGAAAGAGCACCCTTCCCTCCGAGAAGGAGCAGTTGGGCTGTAACCATAAGTAGATTGTGCAGTGTTCTTATTCGTAGCATTTTGAGGAGAATCCTAAACATGACCCTAGGAATGACTTTGAGTTCTGTTACCACCTTATATTGGCTGGGACACACTGGCATGCCACTCTTTAAGTCTCGGTCTTCTCTTTGGTAAGCAAGAGTTGTTAGTATCTGTCTTACTATCTTACCACCCAGAAGTTTGTGACTGTTTTTAGAGCGCTTAAAAATAAAAGTTACCTTTTTGTGTGTTTTTTTTTTAATCATGATTTTCTAGTTTATTGGGGGAAGTATGTGGTAACAAAAGTGTGTGCTATTCATGGTTACAGAGGATAGAAAATATATTGTTGTATGTACAGACCACAATTGGCATTTAATAGTTGAAAGTATTAACAGACTATGCAGGTCAAAATAAAGCCATAAGTCACATAACACAAGAGAGCAAAAATTCGGTATTTTTTTTCCCTTCATACTTTTCAGCTGTACAAATGCCTTTATTCCAGCTGCATAGCTTGAGATACAACTTCTAGGTGTAGAATTCTAGGACTTAACTTTATTCTTATTTTCACCTCTTTGTAACTTCTGTGAGCAGAGTCTATAGCACTTATTTCAGGTAGCCTGTCTGGGAGCTGACTCAGATCTTTCTGGTTGATTACACTGCATATCCCTGCTTCAGCAGGAGTTCCATGGTGGTGGCGACAGCAGATGCTGTTGTGCGTTGTTATCACAGTCTCTTCTGGCAGCAGTGTGGAAGACAGTGTCTGCTTTTATCAAGGTCAAGGAAATATGACCTTGACAAGGCACTAGAAGGCTAACCCTGGGCTTATTTATCCACCTGCTCCTATGCACCTTGCTTCCCAACTATGGGTCCTGGTGGTCTCAGATGGTTGGGTGACCTGTGGGAACTGACCACATTGCAAGTGACGGCATGCAGAGAGCCTGAGTTGCTACAAATGTAGGACTTTTACCTTAAAGCAGATGAGCTAGGCATGCAAGACATGGCAAAAACCCGTGCTAAGCCATGTGGCACTCAGTGTGGACAGCTGCCTTCTCTGTCTAATTTGTCATGTCAGTATCCTCTCTGTTTCAAGGAGTTCCCTGCTGAGTGGAAGCCTCAAAGCAAGGCTATCTGTTCCTCCCACTCCAGAATTTGGACATCAAGGGGATGATGCAGAAACATAGGTGTAGTTGGAGGCCATTTGTGGCAGGGGTGTCCAGGGGTAAGAGAGCCAGGTGTAGCGCAGTAATCCTTGGGTGTAGCCTTAGGATGTTCTCCGTTACACAGGCAACGGGATTCCTCTGGCTCTCTTAACTAGTTTTCTAGCTCAGCTGTGGCTTTGGTCAGCCCCCTCCCCACATCTTCATGAACCCCTTCTCTTGACTTGATAGTTACTAGTAGTAGATCCAAACTGGCCCAGCTTGTTATTCCTCGTGTTTAAGGTTTAGCTCTTATTCTCTCTGTATAAGTGATCTGTGTGGAGTATTGTAGAGGTGAAAATGCAGTACCCATTCACACAAAAGGAAAATAGCAACTCCTGTTTTATTTCTTTTCTGCCTCACTATTCAACGTCTCTGTTCAGATGATTTGGGCTTCTTCTATCTTGTTGTATTTTTCTTATTTTTTAATCAGGCATCATTATGATAGAAAAACATGAAATTTACCCATCTTACCATTTTTAAGTGTACAGATCGCTGGTATTAAATTTATTTACATTATTATAAAACAGGTGCCCAAAACTTTTTATATTGTGATATTGAAACTATATGTTGATTAAAAAGTACCCTTTTGCTCCCCCCCCCCCAAGTGCCAGGTAAGAACCATTCTTCTATTTCTGTGTCTACTTTAGATACTTCCTATTAGTGGAATTATATTTTATACAGAACTTTATGACTGGTTTCTTCCATTTACTGTAATATTCTCAAGGTTTATTCACGGAATAGCATGGGACAAGATTTCTTCTTTTAAGGCTTTATTACACTTTATTGTCTATGTGTTCTGTATTTTGTTTCTGCATTCATCCATCAGTAGACATTTGGGTTGCTTGTATCTCTTGGCAGTTAAGAATAGAGATGCTATGCACATGGACGCGCAAACATCTCATCAACATACTACATTCGATTCCTTTTCCTATACCTAGAAGTGGAGTTTCCATATACTGTGACAGTTATAATTTTAATTTTGGGAGCAACGCGCAAGCCATTTCCCATATCTAATAGACTGCTTTGTAATCTACTATCAGTGCACGAAAGTGCCAATACTTGTTATATTCCGCTTTGTTTGCTTCCTTTCGTGGTCCTCCTAATGGCTAACAGGAGTAAAGTGATAGCTCCATTGTAGTTTTAATTTGCATGTCTTATGATTAGTGATGTTGAACAACTTTTTAATACGCTTGATCATTTGTATATTATCTTTGGAGAAATATCTATTCAACTCCTTCTCCATTTTTTAAATCAAGTTATTTGATTTTTTGTATTGGGCAGGTTTGCCTGAGAATGCCAACACTTAGAGTCTGACATAAGGGGCAGGTGGACAGAGCTGAAGAGGAGTGGAAAATGTGGTTCAAGTTGGTTGCATAAATTCTTGTCTTAGAACAGTGAAAGGATAGCTTATATGAGGGACAAGTGGCAGACTTCATAGGAAGCTTGACTGCTTCTGTGAGGCCATTTACAAGATTATTCACGTTTGTAAAATTTTGATTTGCTTTTTTACACTTTTCAAATGGTATTTATAGTGCCAAGTATGGTGGTACATGCCTATAATCCCGGCACTTGGGAAGCTGAGGCAGGAGGATTGCTGTGAATTCAAGGCCAGCCTGCAGAACGTAGTGAGTTCAGAGCACATCTGAACTACATAGGGAAACCTCTCAAAAAAAAAAAAAAAGGTACTTGTAGAGTGTAAAATTTCTGTCTAAGCATTGGATTAGTTGCTAACCAAATCCAAAGTCAGTAAACTAGTGGTTTTGTTTAAATAGTGATTTGGAGCTAACAGTGACTGCCTTTGCACATATTACCTTGGTTATTTAAAATCTGGAAATAGCCTAGAGAGGGATTAAATTCAATGTCAGGAGGTCACAGGGGGTCTTTAGGTCCTCCCTTTCCTGTGTTTACCTCTGCTAGCCACTGGTGGAAGCTCAGGAGCTCACCACATGCACACTTGCACATACACAGCTGTAGTTGTGCTCAATGCAGCGTTCATGTAAGACATGGGAGAAGACTTTGGGGATCATATATTTTAAGTACACATGTGGATTTTTTTTTGAAGCATAAAGACCTATTCCTGTAATTATGTTTTAGAAATTCTTGATTTACGTGTAAGGTTTTATTTTTTAAAAAAGACCATTTACTATTATATATATATATTTTTTTAATATTCCCAGACACAAATACATAAATACATAAAGTGATCTTCAAATAAAGTTGCTAGAAACAAGATATTTGAAAGTTCTCATTCTGAATTAATTGTTGAATCAATCTTACTATTTTTCTTACTTCTCCGACAGTACTATAGGTAATATAATGAATATGCCAGTAAAGGTAGTTTGTAAAATGAAAAAGGGAAAGTAAGAACAATTTGTTTTTTTACCTTTTTTTGCAATCTTTTGTTCTATACACTTTCTCTTTTCTTAAATGTACCTTTAAATTTTTCAGATCACACTATTGATCATACTATTTATATACCATTTTGTGTCATGCTCTATTTTCTAGCAAAGATAGTTTTTATGACTTGTAAAGTTAAGTTTAGAGATTGCATATCATTCCTTTGGGTGATTATGATAATCAGCTTAATCATTTTTCTATCATGGGCTAGTTTGTTTTCAGCCACTTGAAATAACAGTTCATTACTGGCAAACTGTTCTGAAGACTACAGTCAGTGGAATGCTATTTTAGGAAGTACATTCTCATTGTTGGCTGTTACATTCCCTTGTCCTTAGGGTCCTTTGTCAAGCTACAAAAATATTTTGGGGCTGGTTGGTGGCCCCAAAACCTAACTTCAAGGTCCATAAAAAGCCACTTGATGCAATTAAAGTTAGGA